GAACGATGTGGTTGTATTAAGTTTTGTATGTATATGTATGTGGGTGTGTGTATATAAGTGTGTGTGTGGTTATATAATAAAAACGCACACAGGTCTTATACACACGTGATTAAAGAAGGATTGATAGTGGATGCTATCCGTGGATGGATGTTTTTAATGCCACCGAACCACACAGAAGCACAGAAATAACTTGCTCATCTCCGTGAAAGTCGAACTACAAAAAACGAAGATGCATCATGGGTATTGTAGTGTTAAAACGCACAGGTGGACTTTTAACAGTTGGTTTAAATAATTCACCTCAGTATTTTATTGAAAACTAGCTCCTTGTCATTTTGAATTAATCCTGTAAAACCTGAGAACGGCACAGCCTGACCTTGTTTTCTTATGTATGTGCAGTGTTTACCAGATGACTGAAATTTCCTAGACTAAATATTTCTAAGTTCACCTGTTACTAACACTAGATTCGAGGTCACGTCCGCTAGCACTCACTCTCTTTTAGTATACTAAGACTCTCACCAGACAGACACCATTTTTGTTTCAAATGAAAAGGAGCTGGTTTCCTCCTCCGGGAAACCAGCGTTCAGGGATAAGATCTACACTCACATGCCAATGAGCAGATCTCAACCCAGGTCTTCGACACCACTAGTCATGACCAAACCAACAGTTTTTGAGACTCCACCATGGCGATTGCTCTAAGACTGCAAGGGAAGCTCAGCTTCCCCTAAAACGTAAAAAAAAAAAAAAAGATCAAATATATACTGTTGTGTGGACGTGTCATTGACTAAATATGCGCTACAACAACATGCTCAACTTTTGTTCAGAATCAGCTTCTTCTCACTGGTAACGATGTGGTTTTCCTCTCACTCATTCCCGCAGCTTCACAGTGCTTTAAACAGTGCAGACGCTGAGCTTCCACATAGCTCATTAGTGATGCAAAGCCTGCAGCGAAACGAAATGAGTCATTGGATAAATGCTGGGCTTTGTCCTGCCCATCAGATGCTGAGCGTCTCTGGGGGGTCTTTGGGGCAGTGGGCTGGCTCAGCTGGTTCGGACACTCAGCTTCTGCATGATGATTGGATGATCTGTCTGAGGCTGAATCCCTTTTTGATTGACAGTGAAATGAGTGAATCAGCGATATTTTGATGTAAACATTCCGTGGGAGCATTTTTTACTTTTGTTTCTGTTCTGAGTTGAACCGGAGACTTTATTAATCCTTTTAGAAGCATTTTCTTTGTTAAAAAGGGCTAGCAACAAATCGAACTTCTATTTCTGGTGGGTTTTTTGTAGCTGCTTATGTTTGGAGACTCTTTCTGACTTCTATCTCAGTTTCTGTCCAGCGGGGTGCTGCTGAGCCCCCCCACCGTCACAAAGCACTCACAGACAGACACACTTCACACTAGCCTCGCGCCGGTATCAAGCTGCACATATGGCAGACAGTTTGAATGTTGTGGACCGGATTTTGGTGAAGCCATTTGATAGTCTTGTTTGCAAAGAAAAATTTAGAGTTAAAAAGCAGGGCTGATCAACTCCTCAGATTAATTTGGTGCAAAAGGTGGGGGAAAAGTAACAGGTCTTTTCAGCTGTCCCAGCATGACAAAGTGAGCTGGCTGCTGTAAAATCCTATAGAATAATCTGGAAAATGATTATAAAAGTAATGGATCAATTAATTCCTTTAAAAAAATCGTCAAAGCAAANCTATGGTTTAGTTCACTATGTTTTACTATGAAATATATATGGTTATTTGTGCTTAAGTCTTAAACAAATATCTTAAGATTTATGTTGGTTTAAATAATTCACCTCAGTATTTTATTGAAAATTAGCTCGTCATTTTGAATTAATCCTGTAAAACCTGAGAACGGCACAGCCTGACCTTGTTTTCTTATGTATGTGCAGTGTTTACCAGACGACTGAAATTTCCTAGACTGAATATTTCTAAGTTCACCTGTTACCAACACTAGATTCGAGGTCACGTCTGCTAGCACTCACTCTCTTTTAGTATACTAAGACTCTCACCAGACAGACACCATTTTCGTTTCAAACAAAGAGGAGATGGTTTCCTCCTCCGGGAAACCAGCGTTCAGGGATAAGATCTACGCTCACATGCCAATGAGCAGATCTCAACCCAGGTCTTCGACACCACTAGTCATGACCAAACCATCACTTTTTGAGACTCCACCATGGTGATTGCTCTAAGACTGCAAGGGAAGCTCAGCTTCCCCTTAAATGTAAAAAAAAAAGATCAAATATATACTGTTGTGTGGACATGTCATTGACTAAATATGCRCTACAACGCGCTCAACTTTTGTTCAGAATCAGCTTCTTCTCACTGGTAACGACGTGGCTTTCCTCTCACTCATTCCCGCAGCTTCACAGTGCTTTAAACAGTGCGGATGCTGAGCTTCCACATAGCTCATTAGTGATGCAAAGACTGCAGCGAAACGAGATGAGTCATTGGATAAATGCTGGGCTTTGTCCTGCCCATCAGATGCTGAGCATCTCTGGGGGTCTTTGGGGCAGTGGGCTGGCTCGGCTGGCTCGGCTGTTTCGGACGCTCAGCTTCTGCATGATGATTGAATGATCTGTCGGAGGCTGAATCCCTTTTTGATTGACAGCAAAATGAGCGAATCAGCTATCTTTTGGTGTAAACATTCCGTGGGAGCATTTTTTACTTTCGTTTCTGTTCTGAGTTGAACCGGAGACTTTATTAATCCTTTTAGCAGCATTTTCTTTGTTAAAAATGGCTAGCAATAAATCGAGCTTCTATTTCTGGTGGGTTTTTTGTAGCTGCTTATGTTTGGAGACTCTTTCTGACTTCTATCTCAGTTTCTGTCCAGCGGGGTGCTGCTGAGACTGTGACTCTCCGTCGCAGGCCTGCGCTCTCTGTGTGTTTCCAACTACGTGACAACAATATAAAAACTTTACAGTTTACAGACTGGACTGAGGTTCTTTGATCAGTTTTAGGCTGATCTATTTTCTTGTCTGAGGTTAAATGATTTTCAGTCCCGGGGTTCAGTTTCATGATCGTTCGAGTTTAAACAATAAAAACTCAAACTAAAATATGTCTGACACTGTGTTCACATGCTCCTTATATCCAGAACATACAATACAACAAAGTCATGTTTCTGTGGATTCAGGTCCGATTCGTGACTTTGTGAGTTAAAACTGTCGGCTGAAAAACTGTGTGGCTG